TATAACAGCTAAGTAGGTTAAGATCTTTTTAAATAAGGGGGTTATTAAATAAAAGAGTAGCAAGATAAATTTAATCTTTATTATTAAATTCTTTCTTTATAGATAGAGTCTTATATTAATCCTCTTAAGGCTGTAATTAAGCCTCTTTTAGCTAGCTGTAATAGTTATTATTATAATTATAGTATTGCTAATAATATAAGAAAGCCTTAATATAGAAACTAAAAAGTTAACTGTTAAATATTAGAAGCTTATTAACTTAGTAATATAGGTAGTTTAATATAAGCTTTATATAGTAGTAATCTAGCTACTATTAACCTTTTGGATTAGTATAATAGTAAGGGAAGTAAATTAATATATAAGGCCTATTATTAATATTTTCTAGCTACTATTACTTCTACTTAAAAGAGTCTCTAGAGTGGAAATTCCAATATTTAAAAAAGGAAATATAAGTTAGGTTTTCTAGGATTTCTAGATATTAACTATACTTTTTATAAATATTAAGAGTCTTATTAACCTTATTGCTATCTATATATAGAAAGTGGGAATGCCTATTAGAATAATAGCAGTTAATATATAAGTAGGTTTGTAAGCTCTTTTATAATGGTAGGCTGAGGAGTAAGTAGCAAACTTCTTACTTTAAGTAATTTTATTTAGTAACTAGCTAATTTAGAAGCTTTAATATAAAGAAAATAAAAGAGTTATAATTCTTAATCTAGAGTATTAGGGCTTTCCTAATCTAAGTAAAAAATTTACTTTTTTTTTCTAACTTAAAGTAATATTTAGCTATATAATTAATTACCTGCTATAAGCTTATATAGGGGGAGATATCTATATTAGCCAGCTATATAATTATAAGTAAGTAGTTATAGTAATTAATCTAGCTATTATTCTACTTACTCTTAAAGTTCTAATACTTAGAATGAGGAATCTTATTTAAAGAGGCTAGTAGGTATTACTTATAAGGAAATTTAAAGTAATACTTAACCTACTTAATATATTTATTAAGCTATATATAATAGTTATTATAGCAGTATTATTACATATAGTTAACTACTATTAATAGGAATCTAACAGTAAGAAGCTGCTATAATAAATTGATAATTAGGGGGTTTTCTTCTCTAGAAGCCTATATTTGCTAAGGCTCTGGGTTAATTGTAGATATATAATATCTCTAAATATAGGCGAATTATTTCTGGAACTGATTATTATTAGAATCTAAATCTAAGTGGCTACTTAACTAATATAGGCTATAGTAGTAACTAGACCCCCTGCCTTACTACTTGTAGCAACCCTAAAAGTCTATTAAGTTAAACTTCTACTTTAGAATAATAATCCTAAAAAATATATAATACTTATGGAAGTAATAAGTAGTAATATAGGTATTATCTTATAGTAATTACTGGAATAGAGCTATTTACAGTACCTTAGAAGCTACTTTCTACTTTTAGAATTAAGGCATATAATAATATAGGGACTTCTAGTAGTAATTAGCTATACTTATAGTAATAAAAAGGCTAGGCCTGCCTAGATTGTGGGTATATATCTTTAATTTCTTTCTTTACTTATATTAATATAGCTAAGTACTCTTAATTATAGCAGCTTAATATGTAATTAACTAAATTAGAGCCTAAGCCTCTAGCTTATTAGGCTTAGTTATTACTTCCTCTAGGTTAGTATGTATAAGAGGTTAATAGTAGCCTTTATATTACTTAATAAAATAGTTACTTTGCTTTCTAACCTATATATATAATAGTGTGTTAAGAGCGACGAAAAGCTATGTCTTATAGCGGGTAAAATATCTATCTTACTATCTTATTATATAGGCAAGGTAATTCTAGTATATAATACTCTATAGGCAAGGCTCTACAAAGTCTGCCTTACTATTAAAATAGAGAGTAGGGAATGTAAGTATTAATAGCAGCTAGAAATAGTTAAATTTGTTAATAGAAGTCCTGCAAATAGAAGGTAGTAGTATATAATATTAAGTTTATATACTAGGTAGTATATACTTAAGATTAGCTATATACTTAGAGTTAGGGGTATTATTAAGAAATTGGAATTGTAGGGTGTTTAATTTGGTATTGGTAACCTATAAATTCGGGATTGCTAATATATTGGTATTGCTAGGATCCTCTTTTACAGCCTCCTTAATAGAGCCTTGGGGGACCTTACTATTAGGTATGTTAGCTACTTAGCTAGCAATAAAAGTAACTATACTACTATCAAGAGGAAGCTATTACAAGCAATCCTACCTTATAACAATATTGCAATAGCCTAGATGGTAGTGCTATAGGTAATAGAGCTAAATTAATAGGCATGAGTAATATACCTGGAAATTGCAAGCAAATTACTACTAGAAGCGAGAGTTGCCCTCTATATCAGGAGGCTGTAGGAGTATAATATCTAGCTCTTTAGGTAGGGCTGGAAGCTCTTTAAATAGCCTATTAATATTGTAAAGGAAGTAGACAATATGACCGCAGTATTTATATTAAGAGCTATATACCTATAGGATCTTTATGTATATGTAAACTTTAGCAATTAGCATCTCCTTAACTATTATTAGGTCAGGTAGATTATTAGAGACTTTCCTAAAGTTAAGGTTATTTATAATGCTAAAGAAGTAGGGCTTATTAGGGGTTTTCTTTCTATCTCGACTAATATAGCAGCTGTAAACTTTCACGCTATTTTGCTTTATATTAAATTAATACTTCTGGCAGCAAATATAACTATATATCTTATTATTATTTAGGGCAGTATAGAATTTCTATATAAGGGCCCGATCCTCCTTATTAAGGGCAGGCAAGTTAAGGTCTGCTATTAAAGGTAAATTAACTATTTAATCAAATTGTTGCTCTTAAGGCTATAGCTGTAACTATAGGTTAAAGGTACCTTAATGTATATAGCAGCTGCAGCGATAACCCTATAGTAGTAATAAAGGTGTGATAGGAAATAATTCCTATAGTATAGGCATGCCTAGCACAATAGGAGCCGTTGGAAGAGTATCTTAAGGAATTGGCATTTGAGGAATAGGCATTTGAGGAATAGGCGTGCCCAGAACTACTATTAGCAGGCTAAGGGTAGCAGGAATAGGGGAAGGTCCCTCTACTACACTTAGAGTAGATAGCCCTAGCAAAGGTCTAGGCAGTCCCTGGAGTGTGGGCGCTAGGCTACAGAATAAAGTAGGCGTGGCAGAAGGTTGTGAGCCATGCATAGATGTAGGCGTTAGTGCAGTCTGCCTTAGAGGCATTAGGTTAGCTATAGAATCAGTCCTTTTCATAGCTCTACGTAGCAATAGCCTCAAGATAATATTCTATATAGCGGCAACGGCGGCTTGGGATTCAGCTATATATTTCCTTCAGCATGTCCTATAGCTAGCACAGTCTCCTATAAACTTCATAGAGTCCTTAACGCTTTGAAATTCAACTTCAAGCAGGTCTTACTTATAGGTGTAGCAGTTTCAAACTGCCTGGGGTATATCGTCCTCTATCTAGCTGTATATATATCCACTTCTTACCCACTTAGACTACTAGATATCGCTCGGGCAAGGAGGCTTTGTGACAACTTATATCTAGTACTATAGAGAGGTTATCTTTAAGGTAGTTAGATTAGATCTAAATAATTAGAAAGGAAACTATACTACTTCCTAGAGGCAGGGTAACCGGGGAATCTTAAGAGGTAGGCTGGCTACAGAGGTAATATATCAACCTAGATACTATTAGCAACTTAATGGGTTTAATAGATTTAATAGAAAAGGGAAGTAGCTACTATATAGGTTAGTAGAAGGAGTAAGGGGCACGGGGGTTATTTAGTTAGGATTGTACTTAGCAACCCAACAAATTAATTGCATGGAAGAAAGGAAGAACTGAAAGCTCTTGGAGAGTTTGCCAAGCTAGCTAGTTCTTATTACCTAGTCAACGCTCAGGGGGTGGTTTCTGGCGAGGCCTTCATTTGGTGGCGTTAATAGCCGACCAATTCGCACACAAGTTGAGCAAGGCCAGGCCAATTAGCCAATCAGAGGAGGTTTTATGCTTAATTCTTTCTGACTGAGTAAAACGCCCTTCGGGCTGAATAAGTGGACTTTTAAGGCTATTTACAACCTTATCGATGCCTATTCAGCCTCACTTTCAGAGGTTGATACTAACTCTTCAGCCTGTTGCTGCTGTGATGAATCGTCAACCTCGCTGATGCTGTCCTCGCCCTCCCGTAGCCATTTTGACTCAGGAAGCGCCAGCTTGTCGTCGCTTAGAGTCCCACAACCGGCATCCAACTTACTTTCAAGGTGTGACTTAAGCAATTGATCCAGGTCCTTGATAAGGCCAGCACGGTACCAAGAGCGTAAAACCTGACAAATGGCGATAATCTCAGCATCTAAGTATCAAGGTCGGAGAAGTCAGAGCTACCAGAGCTCCTTGAGCACGCCGAAGACGACAGTACTACGAAGGCCGGCCAACCCGTGGAGGCATGTCGACTACCTTTCTCACGACTGGAAGGAGGAAGATATCTGGTCATCATGGAAATATATCACCACTCGCCGAAGAGAGTATCCAAATAATTCTCGTCTAGAGAATGCGTCTTGGAGAGCATGGATAAAATGCAAATACAAACTGAAGACTGTGTCTCCCGAGACGCTCAACTGGTAAGGGACGGTGGAATTCGCGCGAATATCAAGCTAACCCAGTGTAGGTTCAAGGATTGTGATGTGACTTGGCTATATGGGCCCCTTTAGCAAGATCCGACCAAGATCTGTTGTACAGATACTGAACTTTCCAGTATCCCATCTCCCAAGTCCAATTCACAGGTCAGCATTAACAAGAAGTCCATATTAAAGAGAACGGTCCCGGAGATCATGCTGCAGAGGCCGTTATCGCCTTCATTGTTACTCAAGCAGACAGCACCAGTGGTCCGAGCATAGGAAACAAACGGCCAGGGATTAACAAGGCCTGCTCTTAATCAAGCAGCAGTGACGGGTTATGTTATGTCTTCGAGACAAATGAGCCGCAATGCCTCTAGTATGCTGTCGTCTTCAGCCTCTGGGGTCTCATCACCAGGCATCGAGCGAAAATACGTCCGCTTCAATGACAAAGTCTAGCAATGTATTATCTTCAATGGTTATTGTGGTGATGACAATGGCATAAACTTTGATCCATATAGCCATAGTGATTCCGAGGACGGTCTAAGGATGAAGCGGCTTCGGCTACGAAACCAGGCTCCATTGGTGAGGAGGAAATCAACGAATGATAAGAACTCATTTATCTCTGACGGAAAGACGCTTACGATGCTTCCGACAACACTTAATCACCGAGGAGATATTCTAGAACCCACGGAAGAGGCAATGAAGCATAGCAACAGTATCCGCAATCCTACGCTCTCGCCATCCTTGTCACAAGAGACGTGTCCGAAACCCCGAAACCCTTGGGCAAGTTCTGTGAAGAAGAGGAGGATTATGGTATGACGGATGTCGATGTTGATGGAGACTCAGCCTGGTACGGTGCTAAGAGTTTCGAAAACCCTGGTTTGTACTGCCGGGCCTCTACAGACAACATAACCGCCGAGCCAACTGGCATGCGTCGCACCCCTTCCGGCATGTTTATGCCATATGAGGAGGGAGAATCATCGTCGAAGGATGCGATACTTGGCCGCTTTATTGACACCGTCAACACAGCCAGGGACATGGCATATTTTATTTGGAATGTGGGCTGGAGAAAGCGAGGGCCTTGACAACGGAGATATTTCATGGAGTCCGCTGATTCGATTATGTCCTTCAAAGCCTCAATTTTATCAATGGGTGTTTTTTTCCCCTGAGGTTTCTGCCTTCTCCTCGTCCATTTGCTGCGAAGGGATTCCTGGATGTGCACAGGCCTTGAGGTGTATTTACATAAGTCGTAATTGTTGCTAGATTTCCTGGGGGGCATTTGTCTACGTTGGTTTCATATTATTTGAGCGATGGATGGAAATATAAGCCGAGCTAGATACAGGTTTTATGCAATGGCAAATGGGTGACCACGACCATGTCTATGCCTCGGAATCTTGAAGCAGGTTTCGAACTTCAATGTCGGAGAAAATGAACTTCGATCCGTTCTGGCTCGACCCCGACAACAGGAGAAGTTGGGGACGGCTGTTGAGTTCAGCGCCTTGATAATATTTCCCTCAGGGCATCAAAGCGGAAGACAGCTCCAGATGTTGCCTTGTATGGTAATTCAACCGTCAAGCGAGCAAAGCAGGAGTAAACGAGGAACGCTCTCAAAATGGCCGCCGCAAGGTATACAATTATAAGAACAGTTTTAAGTTCTTAATCTTCCACAGTACTCAATATGAGTTGGGCTTGATCACCAGACGCTGACGAGTCACTTCAGCTGAACGCATGTTCGAACTTGGGCGGAGCACACTCTGCCAGATCATGCCTGTACGAGCCGCTGCTGGTAGCTGAAAGTGGGCTAGTTCCTGCATTCCAGGCTAGAATCTGAGCCAGCAGGTATCCATCTAATCCATCCATACCAGTACCGGTATTCCGGCCAGATCTTTTCCTAGCCGTCTTAACTTTGGATGTATGCCTTGAGCCTTGAGGAACGAAAGGGTCTTAGAGGATGGGCGCGGGGAAAAAAGAGGGGCTCAGCCAAAACCCACTCGCTTATCGGAGTCCTCGAGCACGGACCATTTCCTTCGTGCTTTTGGTCACCTTAACATCAAAAGCGAGGATAAAATTTGTTGAGAGTGCTGCAAGAAAAGTTCGACGATAAATATAGAATCTGGGATTATTGGGCTTTCCATTGATACAAATTTTACAGCATTCGAGACGTTGTCGATGGTTGCTGAGGCAGAAGCATTCCCTGGGTCATCCGTCTCCAACCCACCAAACACACTTAACTCTACCTCTATTTCCATGTCTTATTCCCTATCCCCCACGACTATGTAACGAATTCAACATGGACCTCTTGAATATGTTAGTAGATGCCAGCGGGGCTTGAACAGTGGATATGGAGATAGAAAACGAGGTCGAGGAGCTCTGTAACGTCCTGTCCCCTGGCAAATCGAAAATATTCTGGGCGGGGAATCGCGAAGTTATTCTGCCACGATGGAATAGCCCAGGATCTACAGGAACGGACGAGGAGCGGTGGAAGTTGAAAACACAGGTCCCACCTGAGCTGAGAAAAGGGGTGCATCAAATTATGCGTGTGCTATGCTATCTCTGAATAGTTTGAAACGGTTGAATAGGTAATCAATCATACACCAAACTGAATATAGGGAGCCCAGTGTAATGGCTGTGTCCCTTCGTCGTCACACAGAACATCTCTCGGTAGTCGGCCATCCCCAGAAGAGTCGCCACAGTTATCCGGTCCCTCCCAATCCTCTAGGATCATATGGCTCCGTGAAGGGTCGGTGGTATCGGTGTAGCCGTGGTCAGCAAAGTGGAATATACTGCAATTTGGCAGATGAGATAATTATGACAGCTCGCTTGCGTCGTCCTGGCTCAATCGTTCTTAGGACGGCCTATCCAGTGTAATCGATACACCACAATCTGATACCAACTGGCGGTCCATTCAGTTCACCTAGAATCCAAACGCCTCCTCTTGTGAAACCAGCCCCTTGCGAACCGCTGCTGCCATAGTGCCCATGATATCCCCGACGATAGTCAGCTTGCTGAGTTTCAGGCCGTGTGGCCCGCTAGAATCCTTCACCAAGGTAAGACGATAGGCTCTTGGAATCTGAATCACGTTCAGTAATTGACCGGCGGACTCCCACATCTGAAGCAATATACTGACCCGCAACTCCCACTCAATTCCCTTGCTGTCCGAATGCTTCTTCTCTCCCGGCTCCACGAAGTTGGTGTATAGATTCCCGAACAATATGCCATCATACCCGTCTGCCGTATCCTGGATAAAAGCGGAGAGGGGCTCCATTGAAAACTTATGATAGAACCGAGTCGTATGAATGAGCCTCTTCCAAGCCTCCTCTCCTCTAAGAACCTGCCCGCTTTGGGCTTGGAACTCCCAGTCCTGGGTGCTCCACTTGGTATGCGGCACCGAATGCGCAGCCTTGGTCTCGCAGAAGTCAATGTTGAGGTCGCTGAAGTATTTCATGGCAGGGTGTTTCAGGGCCTCGTTGTCCCAGCCCTTAAAAGAACCGACAAAACAAGGCTTAGTTGGGTAAGACATGGCGACGACTAGGACTGGCTTTGCTGCTGATAGGGAAGGGAAAGCTTATTCGTTCCTGAGCGATAGATTTCTCAACGCAGAAGAGTCGGGAAAATGAGAACTTTGTGAGATTGGTGAGATCATGCGCACAATATATGACAAAAGAGACCGATCACATGCCTCTGATCAGATCATTTCTCGTCGCCCATCTAGTAAATATCCCCTAGAGCGCCCGTGAACTCAAAGAGCTAAACTTAAAAGGAAGTAAGATAGTCGACGTAATTAGTAGATCATTCGCTCAAGCCACCAACCCACGGCAAGTGTGAGGGAACCAGTCCAGCCCAGAAGCCTAAACCTCCCAGGCATTCCACTGAGATCACCCGATTTACTCGCAATGTAAACATCGAGAAGGCTGCCTACGAGGAGCTTTTCGTGAGGCGAAAGAGTGACCCAGGGAGGCTTATTGATGTTCACGTTATTGATGTTGAGAGAGGAGAATGTTGGGCAGGATGAGCCGGCAGCAGACTGGTCTTGGGTTGTTGTTTCGGTGTCCATTATCCTACTGAAAATGAAGAAATAGAGTTGATTGAGGATGGTTGTGTAGTATTACCCACCCAGTGAAAGACGGCATATTAAATATCTGCCAAATGGGTAGTGCAATGGCGCAGCAAATGTTCGCCACATTGTCAACATATCGGCAAGTTCCGCGCCTAAATTACATTACCTTAAGGAGCCCTGGGGTCGGAGTCGTATGGGTGATCGGGCTGGTCTTACAAATGGTGTCGGACTTCCTGAGTCGTTTCACTAATGTTGCATTAAAGATTGGCTTCAAACTTCAGCTAGACCACGCCGAACGCCACCTAGCGGCATCCCCCGAGGCCCGCCGGGAAGGCACTTTATTCACATGTTTGATGGTAAAGAATTTCCATCTGCCTGAGTAAAAGCGGCTCCGAGACCAGATCCTTGGAGGTAGAAGTTGCAGTTCTTCACACTCAATAAAGCCTACCATATGGTAGTCGAAATGTCGAGCAGCTGGAGAAGGTAGCAAAGACAGCGGATAGTAAGTGCTCTACGATTTAGGCGTTTTCACTCGGAGAGGAGTTACCAATACGCAGTCTCGTCTTGTTCCATCTAACACTAGGTCAGAGGGAGGACAGCTGAATTGTCCATTAACTCGGCAGCTGAGAAGAGGCTAATTCTTAGATTAACTGCATGTGAAAATAATGCTTAAGTTGGCAAAGCCAGCGAAGGTAATTGACGAATACAACCCCGCTCAGTCACACCCAGCCGTGAAAATCGATGTACCCAGCCTTCAAAAATCGAAATATATGATGACAGGCGAGGGATCCTCTGCAGCTGAGCTGACCGGCCTATGTCACAAATAGGTCATTATGACATTGACGAGCTGATGGATGGTCATGATGACATGCAGTTGGGACGCCACTTATTTCGCGTTCAATTAGCGGCCAAAAGTCTGCAACCACCTGACACAACTGGACCAAAATGCGCTCTAGCCACAGAAGGCAATTTCAGCTCTTTAAATGAGGTCGTTTCTTCGTGTCCATTAGGCGACGTTTCCACGCTCTGATAGCCCTGTCGATAAATGCACAGGGAGGAAACTCGGTTGACCAAAATGAGCGGCATTTTTAGCCAGCTTCAAGAACAAATCACAGCGGGTAATATGCTCTTGCCAGGCGATGCAGGTTACCAAGAAAGTCTGAAGCGATAGAGCGACAGCTCTGAGAAGCCAGCGGTAAGAATCAGATGTCAGTTGCCCAGGGTGTAGAAGGGGGCGCTGATGATAAGCATATCCAGGCGGTCGTAGTAAGGGTGACCAGCGCGGAAGAGGTATCAGCTGCGATCCGGTTTGCGACTGCCCACAAGATCCTATTGACGGCTTGTAGCGGTGGATATTCGACTATTGGGGCTTTATTATCGGCTGGCGGGATGGTGATAGACCTGATATATATATATAGAAAATCAGTATAGATGCAGAAGCTTGAATAGTAATCTACGAGGGAGGCTGTATATTTAGGGATGTCGACTCGGCGCTTGCTGTCTATAGACTTGCCACTGTCGGCGGGCTCTATAACCAAACAGGCATGGGCGGATTGGTTCTCGGCGGCGGCTATGGCTTCTTGTCTGCGTGTTACGGGCTTGCTATTAATAACCTCATCTCAGTCGAGATGGTTCTAGCCGACGGGTCTATTGCCGAGGTGTCCGAGACCTAAAAGCCCGATCTATTTTAGGGAGTGCGAGGCGTAGGAGCCCAGTTTAGCATCGTTATATGATTTATATCACGGGCACACCCATAAGGCGATGTTTGGGGCGGGCCTCTATTATTCATATTAGACAAGATGCTAGAACTCGTGGCTTTTGCAAACAAGTTCCACAACTGCAGCAAGATTAACCACAACTGCATTATCGTCTTCACATATGCACCGCCGGAATATACAATACCCGTCGTTATTGTAGGTGTCTTCTATAACAGTCCTGCAGCTGAGGCAGAGCAATTCTTTATACTCTTGCTAGCACTCAGCCCTATTACTAATTTAACTGGTATAATACTATATTTAATAACTAATA